GTGCTTGTCTCAGTTATGTCAACATGCTCCATTCCTCCCACAGTCCAAAAACATACTGATAGGTTAATTGGTTTCTGGGAAAAGTGATAGTGATACTGATAGGTTAACTGGTTTCTGGGAAAAGTGGCCCTGGTGTGTGTGTGTGTGTCTGTGTTCACCTCATGTTTCAGTATTGTTTCAGACGCGAAGCTCTGCTTTGCTATTAACTCAGATTGTATGTTGTTACATTCCTGTTGAGAGCCATTTGCTTCCAGGTGAACTAGAACTGTCACTGTGAAAGTAGCTTTCCAGGTCTTTCATTGGTTTCCTCTAGTGCCAAGGCACTGGCAGTCAACCCCAGCAAGCGGGCGGTGGTAGAGTTAACAGCACAGATCCATAGGTTTTGGCATCAAAACTCATGGCAAGAACAGTTAGAAAAGGCAAATTGCAAGATTAGAGCAAGGGTGACAGGAAGTGGAGCAGAAGCGTGGAGAGGATGTAACGACTGCCGGGAGAGGCGCACATGGATAGAGTATTTTAAGACCCTATGCGAGGCGGCAAATCCAGAAAGGAATAGGGAACGGAGCCGAGGGAAGACACACAAGGTTTAATGGTGCTCACAGTGATGACAGGGAAGCCCGTGCAGAAGTGAAGGATAGGTATCCATTGCAACCAAATCCACGAAGGTCCACAGGAGAATCAGGAAAAAGTCCCTGTGTCCATTATTGAGAAATCCATCCGGAGACAGAACAGGAACTGACACAGGAAAAAACAAGAACCAGGAATACGGAGCTTCGTCCCAGGCCCCGGGCTCAGAAGGTCAGGTCTACTGGCCTATGCCATCAGACTTCCCAGTGAAGCCTGGTGGTAGGCAGGCCATGAGACAACCATTTTCCAAAGCTGAGCCCCAAAGGCTGGTGGGGGGGAGCAAACTTAACTAACGGACTTGATGAGATACACCAGGAAGGAATAATTAAAAGGACTATCTACAGAGGATTAGAGCGCCCTCTGGAGGAGGGGATGTCGACCGTGACAGTGGAGTTACTCCGACATGAGAATCAGGATCGACCGAGTGACTTTTCTGGGTTAAGGCTGAAGCTGGAAGACAGACGGTCTATAAACCTTGGCGTCGTAGTGCCGGCCAGAGTCACATTTAACTTGCATTACAGATTAGGTTGATGTCAGACGTAGTGCTGGGCGATAATTCGATAACGATAAATGCTCGATAAATGCTCGATATATGTTTATGCTTTGCGCATGATATGCGCACGCGCACAAAATACTGCGCGAGTGCGCGTGCGTGTTGCAGACCGGGCAGCTTACGTGGTGGTTTTTACCCACACGGTGGTGTCTGACATGATTGTAGTTAGAGAGGAGACATGAGCGACACTGAAGCAAATGGAGATATAATGGGTAATTTGGAGATATTTTGGCTTTTTACGATCAGACATAAAACAGAGCACTTTAAACTTTGCAGTCTGTCTGAGCCATCTTCTATGTGTGTTTTATCACACTGCAGTATTTAATTTTTCTATTAAGATATTTATTTTGTAAATTTTACTCATGCATATTTTGACATAAAAAAGACTTGAATTCTCTCTACCTCAGATTTGTTTAATGTTTCTGCTGTTTGGCAAGTGTTTGTTGTGTTCTGAAAATAGAGTTGTTTAATTTTCCAATTCACTTTCACTCAGGAGAATAAATCTGCCTTTAAACCTGAAAGAAATAATGATTTTACATTTATCGTGATAATTATCGATATCGACTGATATGAACATTTTTATCGTGATAATGTTTTTGGCCATATCGCCCAGCCCTAGTCAGATGTTTCCGGGCTACTTCCGAAAGGTTTGCAGGTGTCCAAAACAGGAGAGATCTACACGCATCATATTGGGAAAGGCAGTCGAACATATAGGGTCAAGGACACTAGAGGTCTGCACAGGCATGAAATTGAAGCCCGAACTTTGAGACCTGACCCAACCGAGCCTGAATGGTACTGCCAATTTGAAACCCGAACCCGAAATCGGTCACTCTCTTTTCGCGAGTAGACACACACCTGAATTTGACGGATTCTCACAGACACGGTTTTACAATGCTTTGCTCGGCTGCTGTGCGCTTGTGTTGATAAACAGAAAATACTGTACGCTGAGAAAAACTGGTATTTAGGTCATAATGTTTCCATGACGAAGCTGTCCCTGACTCATTTGGAAGTTTAAGTAGTTCTCCCTTTGTGAGTTTTTGTTTTATTTCATCCATTGCACACAGTTACCTAGGTGGGCTCTGTTACACACATACGAGAGAGAGAACGAGCAAGCGAGCGCGCAAAATGAGTTACGAATTTCTTCTAATAAAAATAAACTTAAAACATAACATAATAATAATTCATTTTCACTTATTAGAAAACAAACCCGAACCCGGCCCGAGCCTGAAGTTGTACGTGAAAAACCGACCCGAACCCAGCCCAAAACCCGGTACTTTGTCGGGCCCCAGAGCAGATCTCTAATGGACACCATCCATACGAAATCAGTCCAGTTCATCACAAGAGAATTGAGGAGGCTTGTGCCCCGAAGGAGAAATCACCTCGTGTTAGAGATCTTCTGTATAAGTGGGTTCAGCCATTGGATCGCAATGAGCTGATGGAAACCCCAGTACTGGAGCAATTTCTGCAGAATCTACATCCCAAGGCCCATGTTTGGGTGCGAAGATATGGTGCAGGTTTGCTTCCTCGGTTTGATTGGTTCAACGTATTTATGGCAAACGGTTCATTGGGAATGGCAATGTATCGAATATATTCCAACAGTGACTGTTTTGTTTTTCTTTTACCCAAAAGCGAATGTACTCCACTTCCAACATGTGTGCAATGGTGTGTGTTATTTTATGCAGCGAAAGCTTAAAAAATAGACACTGAACACATGCATGTGCACTGACTACACTGAGCATGTAAGAGGAGTGACAGATGGACATTGGCTTTGTGTCAAAAACACGACAAGTGTAGATTAGCCTTTAATTCAAATGATTTTATACAGTACAAGCTACACTGAACGAGAAGAGGTCTAAAATTCAGGAATCACCAGATAACGTTTTCAGAGCTAAAAGAAAAACCACACCTAAGACAGAAAACAATCTGCCCGAGATGAAGAACTTGGCTGGCTCAAAAAGCAGAAAAAAGCATAAAACACTGTAAACCAGGACCACTGATTTACTGAGTGAGCAAATTAATCACACTTTAGTTAGGGAAAAGCAAAACAGCAGTACTGTGAAACTTAATTTTGTAGTAATCCCAAACTGGAATTCTGGGAGACGTTCTTTAGCAACAGAATTGAGATGATTGTTATGACTTTGCCCAGGATGGGCAATAGAGACCCCTCTGTAATATCCCAAGACAGATTTGTCCAGAAAAGGATGAGTCATTGCCTAAACCTATTGTCAATTTTAGGAGTGACATGTTACATATT